CCTCGTCCGGCTGAAAATCTCATTACTGATAATTCAAACAAATCAACTGACAGCTAAAATATTCAAATGTACAAGTACATTTAAAATTACTCGTGCGAGAACACTCAGAATGACATAGAAGAATTGAAATTAAATACTATTACGCAATCGGTGGATATTACAGAGCTTAGCAAATGTAAACGAGGCATGCAACTCTAATAATATGTATCTGAAGGAGACTAATCGCAGGATCTTGCTGACGAAAAAAAATCTGAATGGCTACAGTTGGAGGTTATTTCCTTTAAGAAAACGATTGTCCATTTGGCTGAGTTTAAATTAAGGTATGAAACAAACTTGGAATCGGTAAATGGTGTAGCAATAAGCAATGATGAGATTGGCCAACCTTCCAGCGCCCATATTGAGGAAAGTACTCCGAATCAATGTGTTATGCATAATCAGTCAACTCCCTTCCCAAATATTACTTCTATGATAAACATTGATTTTCATCAAATACAGCATACAAACAAAGGAGAAACTGCAAACTTTCGCTAATGACCCCATAAGATTGATTCCAACATAAAACCCACCCGTGCGTCTAGCCAATGAGAAATAAATCTCGTGCGTGGTTAGGATGTCTATCACAAACCGAGCCAACTGAGGAAATGAGAACTGTTTTGTTTGTACTGCGATAGCCTACCAAATAAAACTGTTGTGGAAAAGACTAGTTCAACCGCTTTTAAAATTAAGGCTTTCCATTTACAGCTATTACATTACCAAAAAGGCCAACGAAATAAACACCAGCTCTATAAGATTAATAAAAGAGTAAATGAGGAATCTTATGAAACAAAAGAACAATATGTTGTGCACCAAGAAAATAAATTAGCTTTTGAAGCAATAGCAATACCCATCTAAGTCAGCCCAATACCATAAGATATCCTACGCTCAGAAAATATAAAGATAACAGACAAAGAAACAATAACTATGAACCTCGTGAAGTCTATAAAACCTAGAGAATGAACACCATTATTGGCAACAGAATATCAAATAAAGTAAATTGTCGTCCTTTTTTTCCTTGAACCTTTATTTTTATACTATTTGGAGCCAAAAGTGGAGGATGGCTGAACTATGTCCACAAGAACTTGAAGGTCAAAACGCTGTAATAAACCCACTAAACTTGATATACATCAAAAGATCTTCCGACTTTTCTGTTCTACGAAATGCTCACAAACATGAATTTGTACCTTCCTTATTACTGTCTAATACAACGTCAATTGCTCCTAAAACTGACGAGATTGCGAATACCATATTGATGTCAGACACTGATGTTGTTATGTTTACAGAGACTTTGTTAAAGGAACCAATTCCAAACAAAGCAATTAGCATTTCTAATTATCAACTGCTAAGAAGGGATCGAGCTCAAA